TATTGATAGTGTCCACTTTTTCCTTCCGTAATTGATTGACTTCTTGTTTAGATTTAATTTAGGTTTGCATAAAATATTAATATTGATTTTATTTATTAATTAAATAATCTATATAGTATAAGGATAAATAATAAATAAAGCTTAAATATGTATTGTTACGTCCTGTAGACTCTACGATTCTTTTCTTTCGTGGAAAATCGATCGTTGTCAGTCGGATATTATTTTTATATATATATATATATGTATATACACACATATACCATGGTACCATGGTACTTTCTAAATAACCAGTTATTTATAAAAATAATTTAATATTTTAATTAGAATTTTTTTAACTTAAGTGTAATATTATAAAAATAATTGATTGAACACACGAAACAAACTATTTCAAAAAGTAGGATTGAAAAGAAAATTATATTGTGTATCTGTGGAATAAGTAACTGGCTTCTGAAAGGTCTCTAGTGCAACTCTGTTTGCATAAGATATGTAAATGCACAATATAAACCTATACTATGATTTAAACCTGCATCATCATTTACAGTAGGCATGCATTAAACGATTTTTTTTTTAGAAACTATGCAGATCTATAAATCTCAGTATGTCTCTTTAGAAGTTGATCTCGTAAGCTTCATGATTATTTTATCAAAATAATTAAGAAGCTTTTTAAATATTTATTAATAATAAGATTCTACACAATTTAAGGATATGTTAAAGGTTATATAATTTAAAGTTTATATATATATATACACATACCACGAAAATTTCTAAAGCAAGCACATTATAACGCTTCTACAGCAATCATTGAAATAGAATATTGAACACCATTGATACAATGCGAGTTCCTTTTTTTCATATAATCAATTTTAAATAAATACTGTTACACTGGGGTCTCGTATTGGTCGTGAGTATTGCCGCATTGAGCCGCTAGCAAAGAAAATAACAAACGAGTTTCTGGAGCAACAAGTCATCGTTTTGTCTAACGGGCGAATGGAGTCTCGGTTGAACTGTCGACTCACATGACGCGCTCAATATTTCCTGCTTTATATTTCTGTATACATTATTGTTATTAAAGAGAGAATTTCGTTCATAGTGTTCTTTTATTTCTGCGAGTTCGGAAGTGCGCAAACGCAACGTGCGAACGAGATTGTGAGATTACGAGTTTGACTGTCCTGGGCGTAACAATACATTTTGATATATTTAAATTTACACATTTTTAAATTTATATTTCATGTTTTTAAGATAGGTTTTTGTTAGAAATAGCACTCTGTATTCTAACAGGCTTTTTAAAAAGAATCAATAAAATTCCATATTTTACTCATCTATACTTTGTTGCAATTTTTAGTGCATGTTTCAAGATGTTTACTTAATATGAGTAAATTAATACACCTGGGATGTATAAATTTTGCCATAACTTCATGAAATTTAATTGCATTTATAATCAGGCATAATGCTAAATAAAATGACAAATAGTCCACTGTATGTTCAAAACATATTTTGTTAAAGAACATAGAAAAATCTGTTCATGATACATACCATTCCCGGAGGTCTATGCTGGCCAGGGCCTGGTCCAGGTGGACCCTGCTGAGGGGGACCACCAGGTCCACTAGGTCCTCGAGGTGGGCCCGGAGGACCATTTGGACGAGGTCCATTCCATGGTCCTTGTTGATAGCCAGGTGGCGGGCCTTGATTAGGATGTCCAGGCAACGGATGATGCGGTCCTGGTCCTGGCCCTAATGGCGGACCATGCATACGTGGTGGAACTTGCTGGCCTGGTCCACCAGGACCTGGTGGGCCCATTCCAGGTGGTGGCATTCTTTGTGGTCTTACACCCTGTGGAGGACCCATCATCATTCGAGGACCATGATTTTGTTGTGAATGTTGAGGATGTTGAGGGTGTTGGGGATGCTGTTGATGAGGTGGCATTGGTGGCTGATGTTGATGTGGGTTATGAGGACGTTGGCTCTGACTCTGTTGCGGAGTCGGAGCAGGTCGCGTCTTACACTGTGACTCAAACTGAGAACACAAAAAAAATTATTGTGTATAAGTTACACATGTACCCGCTATTGTGGATATCGTAGCATACTATATTTGTCAAGAAGTAGAAGTGTTACTTGTTAATTTTTATCGTTATCTTGTTATAATAACTATCTGATAATGACGTGAATTTTTTATGGCGATAATAGTAACAGAGTTGGAAAAGTTAATCGTAATGGATTAGAAAAAGTCACTCGTTACTGGAAAAAATTAACTTGTTATTTGTGACGAATTAATTCTTACTCGTTACTTGTAATGAATAAAGTAATGTTGCGTCAATGAGTTACAAATTACTTTATTCAGTACGTAACATGTAATGGTGATAAGTTACTTTTCTTTACTTTTCTTTCATGACATTCCTAGCTTTAGCACAATCTTAGTTTAGTTCGTTATCGTTACAGTCATAAAAAATTGTAACGTCATTATCAAATCGTTACTTTTAACAGTACTGTTACTTTTAACAGTAAAAATAACGGCGTTATTATACTTCCACTCCCTGCTATTTGTATATGCTGCGACACTAATTTATGTATCTTCTTTTTACATCATAATGCACAATGATACATACTTGATTGAGAGCTTGCTTGGTAGGAAAAGTTACTACGGGATTCTGTCCATGTAATTCTTTCTTGGGAAGCCTCTCCATGCATATTCTCATACTTTGCTCTGAGCCCAAGGATATTACACAGAAACCTTTAGACTGACCATTGGCACGATTCTCGAAGAATTTTACCTCCGCAAAATCAGTCACACCAATACTCTGAACAGCATCGGTTATATCTTGATCACTTGTCCACTAAAAATAAGATTTTTTATTAATTTTTAACAAAGAATGAGAAAATATTAAACAAGAAATTTCTTCAAAAAAGTAAAAAACATTTTATTGAAATTTAAATATTATGTAATGAAAATAAAAAAAACTTTGTTTATATTACAAAACACCATAGATATAAGGAAACAGAAGAAAATTGAAGTACGTTAAATATTAAAGTATGAAAAATATTAATCTACAAAATGTGCTATATACATGTAGTTCTTTTGTCATAGAGTATATTATCATAAGATTTTTTTTTGTTACACATTGAAAGTAAACATTACATTACAAATGACAGGAAAAGAAGAAATCTTGAAAATGTTGGAATTAAATTTGTGCACACGTATATACCCATGTCAAATTGCCAACATATAATTGGTGTCGTCTACCAATTTGATTTGGTTGTATATTATTGCCAAGTTGATGATAAGGCGCATTTCCATTGGTTTCTTCACTTGGTGATGTGGTGTCACCACCACCCTCTCCAGTATTTCCAGAAGAGACGCCGCCATTACCACCTGCTGGAGCGGCAATTACATCATCATAAAGATCAACACCGTCTCCAGCAAATTCGTCCTGAAACAAATATATGAACGAGCACAATAATAATAAAAGTATAATGAACCATTTAAATTATTTTACGTTGGAAGAAACGCATGATGTTACAATGATATTAAACAGTAATTTTTATTGTATTTTAGACGATAAGCAGACTAATCAACAAATAATATATGAGATGAATTTTACAATATTTATTTAATACACGCACATACATGTATCAAAAATGTTACAGTCAAAGTGCAAAAGAATTCTAGAAAATACAGATCAGAAAGTACAATACAATACAATACAAATATTATTAGTCTATGCTTATTTCTTTATGACGGTCATTGTTCAAGCTATGTATAACTGTTGTTTGCCCAAGAGAAGCTTAATTAAATGTTTCATTAAATGTCTTATTAGAAAATGTTTCTTTGAAAAAAAGAAATGCGTCATCAAATTTATAACAACGTATTGAGATCATCTTGTTATTTGAGCATCAAGTACGACAAGCAGGAACCACAAAATAATACAAGAATCAATTGACGCAAATTTAAAACAATCACATTTGAAAATTCTCAAAATTTAAAATAACGCTAAAATTTAATATAACAGCATGATCTCAAGACACTTACGTAAGAACCCAATATATACATATTAATTTATGAAAATAAATTACATCAATATGTAAAAAATCGTTAGATGTACCATTTTCTTATTACACGCAACTTCCTGCGCACCCTGTGGTTCAACCGATCAACCGATCGTACACTTCGACTGTAACAGATATGCAGATATACAGACTTTTTGCATTGTGAAGATACGATGGAGCAGAGATTGAACTCACTGTAATTTCAATTTCAGTTCAGACTTTGGCGCAGCAGATGTGCAAGGTTTATGCACTACACTGCTTTCAATTATTCTTTACAATTGTTTCTTTCTGCAACATGTAATTATATTTTATTTGAAATATAATAAATAAAATAAACTGTTTTAAAAAATAAAAATTAAAAGTATATTTAACATCTGAACTCACACTTTATGTTTTACGTCAAATGTCGCTATTGGATTTTCTCACATATAAAAATTATATATAATCTTATCTTGCACTAGGATTGATTAAGATCCAATCCCTTGTGATTCAAGTCAACAAATAAAAATTGATTTTTATGAAATTACATGGGTTTCAATTCCTGCCGCGATATTCTAAGACACCGTTTTTTCGCAAAAGGGAAAATATATTCAAGAATAGGAAATAAAATTGTTACAGAGGCTGCAAAGAAAATGTAATCTCGCATGCAGTGCGATACGTCGTAATGAATGAATGTATATATGTATGTATTGTATGTACGTGAATTTATGTAAAGTAGGTATGCGTGTATATACGTGAAGGTTACAAATCACAAAAATCGAAGGAAGTGGGAAAGAGAGAACGGAAGGGGAGAAAGGAAAACATAAAAAAGTTAACTACACGATATTCGCCTTACCGCTAGCACCATTTTGCGGTCGATTCCTGTTGCGAACCCGTATACTGTTTTAGCGCTTAGCTCCGGCAACGGGTACGCGCGCGCGATCGACGGCAGCAGACAGGCACTAGCTATACAGGCGATTGGTCAACTACGCGACAACAAGAAAGAGGTAACACTATTGGAATGAAGCTTATCTCGTATATGTTTGTGAACTAGTCGCCAGTCGGTTTATTTATTCGTTCGTTCGTTCGCGCGCGCACGCGGGCGCTCGTTCGTTCTCGGAGTAGCCGCTGGTAGCTTCTTGCCGGTTCGATAGCAAGCGGCAGGGGCACACAGTAATGTTCACGATGAGAAATCAACGGCGCGAGCCGATCGTTAATAACGCACGTACACTACGATGTCGACACACTCAGCTTCGTTTCCCGATGAGTACGGAATAGACGCGGAACGATAATCGCTCGCACACTGTTGCGGATTGCGACGAGGCGCAGTGTGACGCGGTACGTTATGGCGCGGCGCGGCGCGTTACCGAGCGTTGCGATCTCCACATGAATATGAACAAACGCAAAGCGTTTCTCTATGTTCTTCGAGCATACGGGGATAAAGAGTACGCGTTCCTGTCGTTTTATTACTATCAAAGAGAAATGCGAATTACCTGCGCGAAATCTTGCTCGAGATCGTCGGCGTACAAATCAATGTCACCGTCCGCCATTTTACGTACACCGACGCTGACTGGCTCACTGCAGCTGCGACTCGGCAGAGGCGCCATCGCCGCCACCGATCATCGTAATGTCCGTATCACATAATGCTGGATTCACACCGCATCCGATTTTC